GGGAGTGCGTGCAAATGTGGATCACCGCTACGACGAAGCTGCTGGAGAATGGCAGCTCTACATTGCCTGGCGTGGGCTTGATGACAGCGAGAACTCATGGGAGCCTTTCGCCTCCATCTACTCGGATGTTCCAGCCCTCGTTCGCAGCTATGCCCAAACCTACGGCCGCAGTATTTTGGAATCGTTGCTTCAGTAGTCGTGGCAGCAGACGTCGGGGGCAGTGAAGCGCTGGAGGCGTTGAGTGAGCAGTCAGCTGCCGCAACACGATGGCGGTGGCATCGACGGAGGCGCTACTGACAGCAACCGACATAGCTGGAGAACCGCATCATCATTGGAGCTGCGCAATCGACTACGTGCTGCCGCGTCAACAGCGGCACCGTATAATCGAAGCCAACGGTTGGTCCTGCTCGGTGGCGAGTGCTGCTCCCCTGTAAGGAAAGAGAAGTAGGAACTAAGACCGTGAATCTTCTTGTTAATGGATCTCACTTCGCAATTTACTTTCAAGCGCTTAACTAGCTACACACTCCCACATTCGGGCTGGCTGTGGCAATCAATCCATTGCCCCCTATATGACTGAATCTTATCGTTGGAAACACGAAGACCTTAGCTATTAACCATGGAATATCACTAGAATCCACCAGTGTGTTGTCGAAGAGGGGCTGTCTGAAATTTGCACCCGCTTCTGACTGCCCTCCCCCTGTGTTGTGCTGGATAAGTTAAGGTGGACGCCATGCGACCGATAAGCTACAATACCAGAACACCCGCGTAAATTTTTTGTATGAAGGTAGATCAATCCTAATTGAAATCTATATTGCTCAGGCTGAAACTTTCATTGCAAGCGGCGCTTGGAAAGCTATCTTCAACTACCCAGTAAACACTTTACCTCCTATATTACGCATGAACAAAAATACAAGTAGCGTTCAGACTCCCGAATGGAATCCAAAAAGGCACTCCTGCAAGCCGAAGGAAGTTCCCTACGACGCTGGTCGTGGCGCATAATCGTCAGCGTGGCCTGCCAGGCAGGGTTATGTTATTAATGGTGTAGTCATTTAGTGCTTTATCCTTAAATTTCGATATTGTTAGCTACATGTTGCATTTACTGCGAAATTCTCAT